TGTGCCCATGCATTGCTTGCTTGTGTGATAGATTCAACAACCTTGTTGCATCATTGCATCGTGTTTTTTCAACAGACAGCGTGAGCTATTAGGGTTCTTACTTCAAGGAGCTGCGTGTGTGCGTTTTCGAGCGTGGGTGCTGGTGCCGCTGAAGGGTGCCGCTGTTGTTCCAGTGTAGGAAGAGCTGCGTGTTTGCGCGCTCGAGCTTGGGCGCTGGTGCCGCCGCAGGATGTGCTGGGGAGCTTGGGTGCTGGCGCGTTGCAGAGTGCCGCTGCTGTGTGCGCTTGAGAGCTTGGGTGCTGGTGCCGCTGCAGGGCGCTGCTGTGTGCACTTTGGATCTTAGGCATGTGGCCATGTGCACTTTGGAGCTTGGGTGCTTCTGGGCTTGGCATGGTGCTTGGGCTGGGATGTACTGCCTTGGACCTCGCCTGGACCTCGCCCGGGCCTCGCCTAGAACCACCATATCCTCCTGCTGCTTGTATGCTTGTGCGCTGCTTGCCTTGTGCAGCTTGCATGCTTGTGTGCTGCTTGTCTGCTGCTGCTTGTGCTGCTGCTGCTGCTGCTGCTGCTTGTGCTGCTTGTGCTTGTATTTCGTTTGGGGTTTTGAAGCATCTGTGAGCTAGAGCTCCTTGCTGCTTCCTTCGGCACCAATGGCGCAGGGCAGTGGTGACTGTGACATGATTGTCACACCTGAGAAGAAACACCTGGCTGCTGCTATTGCTGTTGTTGTGGTGGTGGTGGTGGTGGCTGCTGCTGCTGCTTGTTTGCTGCTTGTTTGCTGCTGCTGCTGCTGCTGCTGCTGCTTGTTTGCTGCTTGTTTGCTGCTGCTGCTGCTGCTGCTTGTTTGCTGCTGCTGCTGCTGCTGCTGCTGCTGCTTGTTAGCTGCTGCTGCTTGTTTGCTGCTGCTGCTGCTGCTGCTGCTGCTTGTGCTGCTTGTTTGCTGCTGCTGGTTTGCTGCTGGTTTGCTGCTGGCTTGCTGCTGGTGTGCTGCTGGTTTGCTGCCTGTTTGCTGCTTGTTTGCTGCTTGTTTGCTGCTGGCTTGCTGCTGGTTTGCTCCTGGTTTGCTCCTGGTTTGCTGCTTGTTAACTGCTGCTGCTGCTGCTGCTGCTCCTGCGTGTTAACTGCTGCTGCTGCTGCTGCTTGTTAACTGCTGCTGCTGCTGCTGCTTGTTAGCTCCTGCTGGTGTGCTGCTGCTATTGCTGTTGCTGTTGCTGTTGCTGTTGTTGTTGTTGTTGTGGTGTTGGTGGTGGTGGTAGCTGCTGCTGCTGCTGCTGCTGCTGGTGCTGCTGGTGTAAATGCCTACTGCTGCTGCTTCCGCAAAGGAAATGGAATAATTTCGTATAAAACCAACACATTTTTCAATCACTAAAGCGCCTTGTAAACAGGAACCTGATGTGACCCTGATGTGACCCCGTCGCATCGGGCCCCCCCTTGCAGATTAACAGTTTTCCAGTCACCTGATGTGACTAATATTGTTGACAGTAGCTTTTCGCAAGCTGTACCCAGCCCACTTCTTCACGAGTTTCCAGTTTCCTATGGTCGAAGATATTGTCATGCAATGCTGCCCCGTTCAATGCATTTCCAGTTTGGCTGTACAACAGGCACTATGAGACCGATGGGCCCTTGGGCCCACATTTGGCCGATGCTCAAGTCCGCCAGACTCTCCGTACTGCCGAAGGCCAGCAAGTGGGTGCACTGAACCAGCGTGCAGCACTTCCGCCGCTGCTATCCTATGACCTCAGCCCGGATGAGCACTTCGCCCAAGCGTTGGAGCGAGGCCGCGATTTGCTACCCACCGAGCTACCAGCAGTGCTGGACCTGGACCTAGCATTTGCCGCTGACTGCCATACTCGTTACCGAGGCCGTTTACGAGATCTTCGCCGTACAGCAGTGGGGGCACTGCGGGAGCTCCATCGGCGCTGGTGTGCCGTAGGGCGACATCTGCGGCAATTTCAACCCATCGCCTTGCAGGCTACCACGGCCACTCGGGACCTCGGCTTCGTCGCACTATTGATTTTGCTGACTTCATGGCCGGATGTCACATACCCATTCGGGCTCATTGAAGGCCTCCCGGCGGTGGGCTACGCGCCGTGCTACGGAGTCTTTCCATCTCAACCTGCTGATCGCATTACTCTCACAGAGGTACTGTCGGGATGCGATGCGCACAATCACCAGATCTTGTCCACCCTCAAGCCGGGCAAAGATGATCAGTTCCTGCTGGAACAGTCTACGAAGGATGCAGCACGAGGATTCTGTACCCCCCCTTTGACACTGGCACAGTTGCGTCAGCAGCTGCATGGGCAGCCGTACCGTTTGATCCCACGCTGTGTGATTACCCAATCCTCGGGTAAGCAGCGTATTATCGACAATGCCGATGCCGGCGGCCAGACCCTGCGGTCATCCGACGCCAATAAGCTGGTGCTCTGCTCGCCCCTCAGACCGGCCGTCAAGTCCTACGCCACATGAGCCCACCCGAGCTAGCCCAAGCGGCGGCTACTGACACCTGGGAATCAGGTGGGGAAGATTGGCCGGATGCCTATCGGCACAGTCCCATGGGGGTCAACGAAACGCGAGGATGCGTAGTTTCCTTCTGGCATCACGAATGGGCGGCTCCAGCCTTCCAAGTCTATGCTGGGCTTCTTTTTGGTCTTCCTCTTGCCGTGACCTCGTTTAACCGATACAGCCGGCTTGTGGAAGCCCTCGGGCGGCGTTTGTGCTACGTCCTGGTATCGCTCTACTTTGACGATGCTTCAATCCAAGACTGGTCTTCGAGCCGGGGGTCGGCTCAATGGGCTTTTGGTGTCTTAAACCAACTTCTGGGCACCCCCTTCGCGGAGGAGAAGCGCCAGGCTATGAACCCCAAAGGCTTATTTTTAGGCTTGGACCATGATCTTTCTGCCACCCTTTCAGGAGGCTACGTCTCTTTTTGGGCGAGGGAACGCCTGGAATCCAAGTTGAAGGCCATTATCCAGGAATGCCGTGAGACACACACTCTCAAACCTGGTGTTGCGGCCAAGCTGTACGGACTAGCCAACTTCTTCGAACAGGGCGTCTACGGACGGATTGGATGTGGAGGCCTCCACGCCATTAAGGAGCGCCAACTTGTCCGAGGTGATCAGTTGACTCCCGCAATTGAACAATGCTTCCAAATTCTTGAAGCCGTGATCTCTACCCATCCAGAGCGTGAACTTGATGTCTGGCCACGACACCACGAACGCTTTGTTGCAGCGTCCGACGCTGCCTTGGAGACCAGGTGAAGGCACGGGTGGTTTTCTCCTTGTCTTCTTCCACGAGGACGCAGAGCTCCGGCTTGGGTTTGTGTCTCACCTCCCCTCATCCATCTATGACCTTTGGACGCCAGGGGATGCCAAGATAGCACAGCTAGAGTTATTGCAGGTTCTCATTGCGTTGACTACCACGCCTGAGCGATTCCGTAATCGCCGCGGAACATGGTACATTGACAACACTGCTGCTTTGATGGCGCTCATCAAAGGCAGATCAGACAGTCCTGACCTCGAACATATGAGTCACATGATCCATATCTTTCTGTTTTCACTTCGATGCTGGATTTACTTTGAGTGGATCCCCTCCAAGAGTAGTTGGAGTGACGCGATTTCCCGTGATGGACACGCAGATAGATGGCACCACGACCAGGGTTTCACTAGTCGAGTGGCCACATTTTTCGAACCGCTCTGGTATTTTCCCTTTTCCGTCACTCTGCGAGTCGCTCTCTTTCTTTAAAGTGCGTTGGGAGAAATGCATTGGGTAGATACATCGCTATGGATACGTCTTGGTGGACGGGTCTCCATAGATGGGTATCTAAGCTTCATCCAGGAATGGATGTGTGGC